CATGCAGTAAGTTAAGAAGTGGAAAAACCCAAGGAAGCATCTATTTCACAGGTGGGTGCAGTTGACTGTTTCCTCCCAGGGCCTGTTCCTCCTCCAGCTCTGTGCAAGCCAATGCCTTGGCACAAATGCTCCTGGCCGTGATGGTGGCTGACATTTGTATCCAAATTTTGCAGTGGTTAAGGGTACCAGAAGATCTCCTGCTATCACACTACCATGTAGAGACCTGTGCTGGTCACACAGAGGTTCTGCGGCAGGGTTGAGTCTTAGGCCAGCCTTGCTGGAGCTCTAGCCCTGGTCTGTGTATGAACTTCTGCTTCTTTGCCACATTCAGAGCTGGTTGCAGTCTGCCAGGAGGCAGAACACAGAAGCTGGTCACAGACCCCTTGTTGCAGGGTCTTGGGCAAAATCCTCCAGCCTGTGTTAGGCAAGAAGTCAGGTTAGATAATTAGAGTGGTCCTAGCTTGCCTGAAAGCCTCCCAGCTGGCTGTGCTCTGGGTTGGGGTGAAAGGCCACATTTCTCACAACAGAAACAGAGCAAAAGAGAGGTAGAAGACTGTCAAGTGCTCTGCTTCCAGAACCAAGGCCTATTTTTTTGCAAAGAGCTCAACACTTGCGGTACGTTGCTCTGGGAATGCCTCTTGTTGCACATGTGTCCTTACAAGTGTTGACTTTCTTACTGTTCACCCGTTCTGCAACGGGAATCCTGTGCATTGCTAAATGGGGTTCGGTGTCTTTCCTGGTAGCCCCTCTGGGTGCCCTTGGTTGCACTCCTTGGGAAGCTGCAGAACTGGCTCTTTGCCTCCTGCCAAGATCAGGCTCCAGGGGGGCATTTTTTTTTTTCCAGAAGAGAATGTGTGCTTTTGCTGGCAAGCTCTGTGTCTAAGCACTGGCTCTTTCTGAACTCATGATGCCAAGAGTGTTTTTATATATTTACTTCCTTTATAAGGACATCAACAGGCACCCCACCCATCCCGAAGTTTTGCGTCCCTTGATAGGCTTCAATTTCACAATAAATCCTCAAATACAATGGAGTGTTCCTCCCAGAACCAAAATAACTGTAGACTTCATTAGTGAACTCTGCAGCCGGGGACAAAATTTGTTCCCTGCTTGATGTCCCTTAAAGGATGAGCACAGCAGCGTGCCCTCAGGGCTGTAGTAACTGGCAAGCCAGGCGGAGAGGGGAATCCTATCTCTGGTGTTTCCGTGCAGTCAGGATTTCATCCCAAAGCTGTGCTCAAGTGGGGAGGGGTGGGTTTTCCTGCCCTTTCCCACCCAGATTGGAGTCAGATTTGCTGTAGCATTTGGCCTTTGCTGAGCTGTGGTGCTGCCTTTGTGTGACACTTTCTCCTGACAATTTACAGCAACTAATGTTGCGATACAGCTGGTTCGTAGGGAGCAACAGAGACAGGCACCATCAGAAGGCAGGTCAGGAGCTTCGGTCCTTCTCCACTGATTATAAAGAACACCTAGAGAGATTAGGCTTAATTAAATGCCTAAGGATTAGATGGCATGAATCTGACCCAAACATCCCTCTAGACCGACGCTGAATTAGCACTGAACTTGAACTGGAACATGGGGTACATCTCTGGGAACCATGTTTAGCCCAAAAGCATTCAGAAACTGCTCACTGTCATACCCCAAGGCACACGGACCTGCCGAACTCCTTCCCAGCCTGGCAGCAAACTTACGGCGTCAAGAGACATTGATGGGTTCTGTTCTTTTATTAGTAATATACCACAGATGGAGAAATCAAGGGCGACACTTGTCTTGCAGCCTTGTATCATGAGGAGAGAAGCTGGGTGAAAGTGCTCAGTCAGTCTTAAGAACTGCAGCTTACCCTCAAACCTAAAAGAAGGCAAAAAGCAGGGGACAGGACGCCGCCATGGCCACAAACCTGGCAATCAGTTTAGCCTGAGCCTGTGAGCAGGGTGCATCAAGCATCAGTAGTTGGGTAATGAACAATGAAACGAAATTCCTGTGAACCTCACCATCTCTGCTGGGCCAAATTTATGTTTGATATATGCTGCTCGTACCGGCTTTTTATTTTGGCTTCTGCAGGCAGAGTGCCACTGGGAGAGATCACACTGAGCCAAAACCCATGTGTGTGCTTGCCTTCATTTTATTCTTTAGCCTTACATTATTTTTGGCAATTACCTAACTGTCTTCTTTTTTAAAATTACCATAAATTCAGGAAAGCCACTGGTCAGGGATGGTGAGTGAACCCAGAAGAACGTAATAAGGTGAATTAAACACCCACTATTCTTTGCTTGGGGGAGATTTTAAGCAGGGTTGACATCTTTATCCCTTCACTTGAGGCAGCTCAGGCAAAAAGAAGAGACGCAAATCAGTGTTAACTTAGGTGTTTCCTCCCTTTGATCACTCTGAGTCACTCAACCTTCATGTTCTCCTCTTGCTTCTTGGCAAGTGCCATGTCCAGTGGGGTGAACAGTTCAGCTGGTAGCATTAGGGGTAGTTTTGGTTGTTGTAGTGCCCTAAGAAAATCTTGGACCATGGGTGCAGGCAGCTCCCTCACACTTGTCCTTCAAGTCCTGCTGCTCCTCGACTTTTTTTTCAGCTTATGGTAAAAAGGTGCCTCTGTGGCAGTCTGGCTCGGGGCTCCGAGAGGCAAAGCGGGCTCCTCTGTCCCCAGAAACCCTCGTGTGGAGGGCTCAGCACTGCTCCCAGCACTTTGCAGTGAAGATACTGGTGCAAGATGTTGGTTCTGTTACCCGATGTTGGTTCTGTTACCCAGTAAAGGAGCTGGAGTGGACCCGGGCGCTCGTCTCTGGGCAAGGCAGGAGGGCGGCTGGCCATGGCAGAGCTAAGGTGGCTTGAAGGATGAGCAGAATCGCAACTCCGCACATGTTACTTATGCTGCTCTTCTGGTAAGGATGTTTTAAAATTGAATTATTCTTTATTTTTGTTGTAGGTTGACAACTTAATCAGCCACCGTAATGCTGGTTTAGTGCTGAATATTCCCCACAAAACTCCTGACAGGTGAGTGAGTGTTAACGATTTTGGTTGAACAGTTCATTTGAGGTCATGCAGAAGGTTAAAAGAAATTCTGAAAGCAGAATTTGGAAGATCACGGCTCAAGGTGCAACTGCTGCGTCTTGGACAAGGAGCAATGTATGAATCAAGCCATACATTAATTACCATCCTTTTAAAAAGGCACAAATATAACACCTTCGAATGCTCCATATGGCTTGGAACTCAGCTGTGGTTTAGATTCTTGCTGCGTGAGAGAATGAGAACAGAGGTGTGTAGCACTTTATCCCTGTCTTATTTACGAGCAGTGGGAGAACGTCCTGCAAAATGTGAGCAGCTAATTTTAGGCGACAACATAGTTTAAGGTGCCAAGCCTTCCAAAAGGGGAAGGACTATATATCCAGCCAGACTGCCTTTAGCTCTGAGCTGCTCCAGGGCACTGGGTGTTTATACCACCTCCAGTACATTAATTCTTTTGTGTGGAGACATAATCCTTCGTTGTGACATTAGTAGAGGTAGCTGTTACAGAAATGGTTGTGAAATCCCTCGTCTTATGGCAGAGGAGAAGAAGGAAGTGCAATTTGCACTGTGCTAATGCTCTCCAGCCCCAAATCCCAAGGGGCTTTCCAAGTGCTAATTAATTAAGAGTTGGAGTTGTCTGTTTTCAGCAGTGGATGAGCAGTGGCACAGGGAGTGTGGAGGCTGATCGGGGGCTGCACAGGGACCTGAAAGGACCCAAGTAAAATGCCGGGCTTGGTTCCCAGCTATGATGCCCTGCACTTGGAGGCAGGAAGGAAGGAGGCTGAATTTAGATGACCCACTACAGGTGACCCATGACACACTCCCTATATTTTTCTTCATCTTCTGTCCTACTTCCCAGCTCACGCTGCTGGATACAGGGACTGTATGGCACCGTGCATTCTGCGTATGCTCCTACCCCCTGCTTTCTGTTGGGCCCACATAAGCGCACAGATTTTGCACCACTTCTACCCTGGAAAGGTCCCTGACTCAAGGCACGGCTCCATCTTTTTCAGGCCACTTTTAGGCACAGCGGATTCCTGCCCCATACCCAGCCTGCTCTGTCACACCCCAGGCCAGCAAGGACTAAGAGTGCCCTCTGCTGCACTCCTTCTCCTCATCTTTCCACCGCAGCATTCCACTTGCTGTTTGGGAATAAACAAAACAACCTTTTCTAATACACAAAGCAACTCTTTCATATTCTAAAGGTCTTTTTGTGCAGGCTGTGCAGAAGCCCGGTTCTGTATTTCAGTAGCAAACAGAAAAGATCATGCCCCGAGATAAAACCGTCTGATATCCCGCATCAATCCCGAGGCGCAAATAAAGCCCTGCAGGGAACTGCTGTCCTTTATCAATAAACTTCACCCTGTAGCTTTTCGTTGCCTTGTAAAACAAGCGGCTCCTCATTGCAGGAGTTCAGATGGCAGTCTTTATAGTCATGAAACTTTCATTTCTGGGAGCTGGCAGCACCAAGTGCTGGTGATGCCCGGTCCGTTATGGTACCTAATTGCACCTAACAGTGCTGAACTTTCCATCTTGCCCTCCTGTTCGAAGGAAAAACATTGAGCACCACAAAGCTCTGCTTATTTAAGTCCTCAGCTCTTGCGGCCAAGAAGGAATGGATGTAGGTAGGTAAAGGGCAGGGGAGGGTATCAAGAAAGCTGTCCCAAGCTTCATACTTTCAGAGTTAAAAAGAGGACAAATTAAAAAATAATAATAATCCTGCTTTTACTGGGATTTGATTTACCCACGTGGAAAGTAACCAAGCTGCAGGCTGTGCCGGCAGGCCTGTAACCGCCAGGGCCACAGGAATCTGCTCATGTTCCCTGGAATTTGGACATTTTTTGTTGCACCCATTTCAGCTTGCTTTCCAGATTGTCACTCAAGCTCGGGGCACGCCCCCTCCAGGAGGCTATTTAAAGAGGAGCTGGTGTGCAACTTTCTCCAAAGAGAGAGGAGAAACTGCGAAGGAGAAGGAGTGAGTCAGTCGGCAGCCTGAATCCCCTCCCTTCCCTTTACTCAGGATGTCTGGCAATGTGGGGACAGTGACCCGGACCCTCTTCCTCTTCCTCCTCCTCGCACCTGGCTGGGTACGTATTGCGCTGCAGCAGCTCTGTGTGCTGGCCGGGCATTGCAGCTTCTTGCTTTGATGCATGCGAATGCTTTAGGCTGAATAACTCTTCCCAGCTGCCACCTGCCTCCAAAGGTTTCTGCGAGAAGGTTGGCTGTTAGCAGAGCAACGTGAATGCACCGTGTAACTAAATCACACTCAGGACTTGCGCTGCGTGTAATGCCTGTCATCTACGGATCTCAAAACTCTTGGCAAATGTGAATGGATTTTGTTTCACTGCACTCGTGTGAGCTAGAAGCCAGCCCTGGTTTACAAGGGGGGAAAAGATAGCAGAGAGAGGTGAAGGCACTGAGTTTATGTCACTGCAGGGAATAAAAGTCTCGTATCCCAGTTCCTTCCTATCATGGTCCTTCCCTGGCTGCCACTGAATCTACCCGTGTGTTCCCAAAAACAGTGATCCCAAGGGGGAAATTAGACTGCAGCCTCTCCAGAGCAGCATTTGTTTTTGTGTTAATACAAGTGCCTGACAGAGCAGCTGATTCTGCTTAGGACTTTTGTGTGCTATTACAGTGCCAGTAATAGCAGGAACATTGCTGCAGTCATTAATGTATCTAAATTGCAGTAAGTGCCTTTTGGATCGGTGAAGAAATCAGGTTCACAGAGCCACTGTGCTTTGCACGGCTTATTGTGCTGGTAGATGCAATAAACTTCGGGTTGGTAAGGTCTGTTTCATTGCTCCTGGCAGCACCCAGCATGTCCCTTTCCTGCCAGGAAAGGTGTCCTGGGCACCTAACGCTACTGTGATCTAGGGGTAGTGTCTGTGACTGGGGATGGTCGTCTTGATTCTTGCACTGACCCAGTTTTGGCAGCATCATATTGGTCATATAAAGGACAGCAGCGAGTCCCGCTGCTGTGACGCTTTATTACTACTCTGAGATGATCATTTTCCCTTTCGACTGCCTTCGAAATGGGACTTTTGGTTTTCTTTGAGCCCTGAGAGTGATGTTTAGTGGATTGAGCAAGGAAATGAGAGCTGTCACTCCTGAATCTGCCTCCTCTGTTGTTCAGAGGTGAGAGTAGATCCAGGATTGCTTGGGGTTAGGTTTAGCCCTGCCAGGCTCAGCCTGGGCAAGTCCTCGTGCCTCTGCTGTCTGTCTGTGAAACGGGGGTGGTGGTTTTTTCTCTTGCAATAGGCTGTTGTACAGCGTGCTGCAGCAGCCTGGGAAGGTGCCTTGAGAGCCTGTGACAGAAGGAGAGCAGGTATTATCCATGATAATTCACCGCTTGGAGTTGGGGAATAGCTGTGCTTTGACTGCTGTATCTACTGCCAGTCTTGGAGTGGGAAAGACAACCAGTTACGTATTTTATTATGTTGCTTCTACCTTACAGCCTTAACCCCAAAAGCACTTTGCAAGCAGCGAACTCAGCTCCAAAACACACCTTTCCCAGCCCTTTGGATGCAGCCACAAGCCCAAACCCATCTTACAAATCCTCTTTGGCTTGGTCCTTAGCTGGTTTCCTGGGGTCCTTGGACATGGACTGATCAGGAATGATCAGTCCCGATGATGCCACAGAACTGCTGCAGTGGTGTGAGCTTGTGTCCCCCCACTCATGCCTTCCTGCGAGTGGAGGGGGAAGAGGTTTTACGTGAATATGAAGCAAGAAGAGCATTCTCACTTTTTCTTCCCCCCCCAAGGTAGCTGGGTTCGGTGCTGGCAGTTGGGAGGGAGCTTGTTCTGGCTTGTGAGCTGAGCTGATGGGACCTGGGAGTCAGTGGTGGAGAACACGGATGGAGCACAGGCAAGGGCATCCTGTAGTCAGACTGTTCTTACTCCCGTGGTGGCTTGGCCATCGCCCAGGGGTCCTGCGAGTGGCAGATTCACACGTGGTGTCTGAGATCGATACAAGAGCTGCCAGCAAAGCCAGGAGCAGGGAGAGCTGATATTCCAGGCTTTAGTGCTTTCTTAAATCTATAGCCTTGATCCCTAACACTGGTTCTGTTCTGCTCTTGGAGTTCACAGAAACACACTGCTAACCTCAACAGAAACAAGGTCAAGGCTGTAGCGAACTTGAAGTTAGGAGCCTGCTCAGTGGAGGTAAAAGTGTAATTTTGGAACAGACCCTTCTGCAGAGCAGAAGGCGATTAGATGCTCTCTAAATTGAGTGCCCCTGCACCCAGGCCGGTGGTGCGTTATGTGGAAATGTTGGTCTTTGTGTTAGGTGTGGGTCTGTAGCAAAGCCCTGGATGCGAGTCCTTGCACTTCTTTGGGACAGTTTGGGCAGTTTCCGCGCTGTATGGAAACAACTCCTAGAAGCAGTCCTTGAAAATAAGGCAGGGTGGAGGGTGCTCCATGCAAATGCCACATAATCCATTATTTAGCCTATTTGAAATTGCTGTGAAAGCAGATTAAGTAATGGAGAACTCTAGGAACTTGGTTCAATGTTGACTTTCTACCAGCTGTTCCCAACTCCAGAACTTCCCCTCGCCAGCCGGTTATTTGGTGCTCACTGTTGAGACTGCATGAGCCAAAAAAGGTTTCAGCTCGTTCTGTCCTCTCGTGGGCCCATGAGAGGAGCGGGAGTTATAAACAGCACGAGCTGACTTTGCTCACGAACAGAACAAGCAAACGGGACCCCCAACATACCCTGGAGCCAGGTGGGCTGGGGGATGAGAGAGGAAAATCTGGAAGTATTGAGAAAACCCCTGCAAATACGGATGAATTTGGCCTTTTAAGCCGTGTTTGTGCTCACTGCTGGGGGAAATGAGGTGCAGGAGAGGCAGGGGTGCGGAGGCGCCCAATGGGGGTCTGCTACATCGGAGATACGGATCCAGATGTTCTGGTGCTGAAAAGCAGCCGTAGTATAATGAGGAAGTGAAGCTGGTTGTAAACAGAAGGTAAAACCAGGTGGTCTAGTTTCTTTGGGTGAGTTATTAAAGGAAATAAACAGCGCCAGCAGTGATTAATGAAGGAGAGAAAAGAAAGCTCAGTTGGGGTTAATTCTGTCGCATTCTCTGTTACCCTGAAAGAGGTTGTTTTGGTTTGTTTTTCAGTAGGAGAGTTATTTTGAGAGTGTTGCTTTACATGGCCTGTGGCTGACACTGCATTGGAAAATGCTTGTTGTCATTATTTTTTTAAGTGCATGGATTGCATCTTAATATAGGTCCTGCGTTAGGAATGCTTTGCCTCTTTTATGATCTCATGTACCTCCCACCCACTCACCCACGGTTGAATAACACGTCCTTTTGGCAGCGGCAGCGGTTGCATACATGAAAAAACAGTGGGAAAGCATTTCTGTATTTTTAGCGTCTTTTAATGCACTTCAGCAGTCGGGAGGAGATCCCTGTGACGTGCCGGCTCCCAGCGCGTGGCTCCAAGACTGCCGTCCGAGAACAGCTGGGCTACAGGCAGGAGAGGCCTGTTGCCAAAATACTTTGTGCTCGGAGTTTTCAAGGAGAATCACGCTCATTCCCGCTGAGCAGGGTGAGACTCCGGGAGGACTTGTGAGTTAAGATTTAGACCGATCCCCGTCTTACACCACACCGCGTTGATTGTTACAGAAGTACAAAGCAATTGGCATCTTCTGACCCCACGTGAGCTAAAGTCAGAGCAGCTGTTTTGAGCAACAGTCAAAACAGCTGGAAAAGTTTTACTACTGTTATTGGTGACGAACACAATATCCAAGGAAGCTGTTTCACAAGCGAGGGCTGGATGGGATATAACAAGTGCAAACAGAGCTGTAGCAAGATATTTTTTTGGCCTCTGTTCCAGGTTTCCCCCTGTTCCGCCCGCCCCCGGGCCCTTCCCAGCTGCTGCAGCCCCTCTCCCTGGGTGGCAGCGGCGCTGTGATGGGTCTGTCGTCATGGGTCTGCCGTCGGGCGCTTTCCTCTTCACAGCAATGCAGGATCCCAACGCGTTTCGCTGACGTCACCTACATGCAAGGGTCATATCAGCCTCGTGGCAGCAGCTGCCCCTGAGGTGGGAGCTGAACGTGTCTAGCAGTGCACAGCATCTGAGCACTGCAAGTTGGAGTAGTGTTCTTGCGTCCCTCTGAGCTACCTGGAGAATTTGAGTGGGCAGAAGCCAAACAAAAAAAAAACCCCAGGGTAGACCTTTCACAGTCGTGATTTTACATCTTGCCCAAATCTGGGCACATCCAGAGCTGAGGGTAGTGTATTCGCCTCAAGCTGATTTGGGACAAGGTGCCACAGATGGAGTTATTGGAGTGTCTGAAGCGTCCTGGGTTTTCTGGAGAAGGTAACCCCCTTTAAAGCCTGATGGCTGTTTGGCATCTGAAGCGGCACAAAAGCCAAGGGTGGGTTTCAAGAGACGACCAGCACTTCTGAAATGCTGCCGAGTGGGGCAGCTGTAGGTTCACAAGGTCCTGAGAAAGGTTGGTTATGCTGCGTTCTCTGGAAAGGGGAGAGGAGAGGGCACATCTCTGGGAGGAATGGAGAAAGTTTGAGATCCAGGGGACAACATGGGACTCGGGAGCCTTTGGGTCAGCGCCGGCTGTCTTTGGGCAAGTCCTTTCGCTATATGCCTCGCTTTTTCCATCTTTGGACTGGGTCTAATGACGCTGCTGCAGAGTGCTTTGATGTTTTCTCCTGAGCAGTGCTATGTAAGAGCTGGGAATTGCTTACTGTTAATAATTACTATTTTATTGCTTCGAGGGAAGGGGGGGGCTGAGCTGCACGTGGGACTCCCAGCTACTCCTTGTCCTGTTTGTTTTGGCCCTGCTTCCCAGAGGCATCTTTTTTTTTTTTTCCCCTTGAACTCCAGATGAGTTTAGAGATGAGAAAAAGAGGAGTCTTGCAATTCCTCAGGAGCTGCATGCATGTCCTCTGCAGCAGGGCTCTCTGGCGGAGGGCGAAGTCGATCTTCCCTCCTCTTGATGTCTTGAAGCAGAATCATGTTTTTCATTTCCCTGCCTGGCTGGCTTGCGGGAGACTCATTCTCTCCGTGGCTTGTCTGCCCTCCAGGTAGAACCGCAGGCCTGCACGTACCCATGCCAGTGTCCCTCCCAGCCTCTGCAGTGCCCCGCCGGCACCAGCCACGTGTTGGATGCCTGTGGTTGCTGCAAGGTGTGTGCCAGGCAGCTCGGCGAGCTCTGTTCCCTGCAGAAACCCTGCGATCATCACAAGGGACTCTACTGCGACTTCTCCAAAATCCACAGAGGCAGCGGGATCTGCTTAGGTGAGAGCTATATGTTCTGTTATTGTGTGGTTTTCTTGTGGCCCCTTCAGCCCTCTGCCTGCAGACCTCCCAGAAAACCCATGGCATCGTCAGAATTTCCTGCGGCGCTCGGAGCTTCATCCAGCATCACACCGTGAGATCTGTGCCAGCCCTACGAGCCAACAGATTCACTGATACCGATACACACACCACCTACTTCCTCCTGCAAGGAAGGATGTTTCCAAAGGCACGAGTGGGGCTTTGGGACTCTCCTTTGTTAGGAGACACCCTCTAGCCCTGCAGCGCCTGTGGGTAAATATCAGAAATCTGGACTTTTACTGCAAAGTACAGTGGCTTGGAAAATCTCACCCAAAATCTCACTGGGGACTGGCATTTTGCACTGCTTACATGCAAGAGGCAAACCGTATTTCTGGCTGTAGCACGTGGGTGGAAATAGCTGAACAACTCACTTGCGAAATCGTGTATGTGTAGAACATGAGAATTACTGAGCCAGGTAAATACAAATGCAGACCTGTTTTCTCTAAGTTAATCCTGGTGCCTCTTTTCAGCCAGAAAAGAAAAATATTTTGGTTTTTATTTTTTTTGTTGGTTAGTAGCTATTTCTAAAGTATGCAAAAATAATTTTGGTGTAGAGGAAAAAAAAAAAGGCATTTCCTCAGCCTCCTGTTCTTTGTTTAAAACCAAGACTCCTCTGCCCCTGTCTCTGCCAGGAGCTGACTGGTTTTTACTTCAAGCTTTTCAAAATAGTCAGGAAGACAGGAGGGCTGGAAAGCTGATGTGAACACTTTGGGAAGCATTCAGCCACTGTGTCTCTGGAAATTCTCTGGCAGCTGTACCACTCGCACCACCCCGAGACAGCGGCGTTGGGGGTTTGGGGTAAAACTGGACTGTTTTGCAGTGCCAGGATCACATACAATTTTTTTTTTAAACTCTAAATAATAAATTTAACTTGTAGAAGGTGTTTTTTCCCTTCTTTTGAGAAGTTATAGGTTCTTTAATTTTCCTTCCCCAGTTATTGTGATCTTTAGAAGCCACGTGAGCTTCCTGGTCCTCTCTGTAGGCATCGATACACCTAAGAGCTGACGATTGAAGCTCAATGAGGTAAATGTAGGCATAGTAAAATCCAGTGGGTGTAAGCTGGGAACTGCCTAATTAAGACTGGCAATGAGGTCTATGTTTGTAAAAGCAGCTAAATCACTGGAACAATTCACTCAGGAGCATGGAGGAATCTCCATCTCGAAGACTTCACATGGAGACTGGATCTTTCTAAAGAAACGCTTCATATTCACCATGACATCTGGGTTTGACACAAAGATTTTTGGAGTGAGAGTCCCAGATTGTAAAAAATCAGACTCAAAGACCACAACTGTCCTTCCTGCCTGTAAATAAGAAATTAAGATTTTCATGGCAAAAATCCCAGATGAACGTAGAGCAGGATAGCTCCTAAACTGGACTGAGGATTTGGGACATGATGTCCTTGGGTGATATTTCTGTGACATCCACACTGATGTCATGGAAGATGGGGGATTTTAGAGGCAGTGAAAGGAGCTGAAGGTGGAATGATGAATTGAATGAAGGGAAGGATCAGTATTTGTGAGTCGAGAAGACTTAGAGGTATCCGAATAAGATGTGATGGGAGCAGAAAGGAGCAGAGACGTGTTCAGGTGTCATGGGAGAAGCTTCTAGGTTGGGAACCCGCCCGAGGGCCGTGTCAGAAGCAGCAGGAAGGGAACCATCAGAGGGAAAATTGCTGTATATTTGTTTAATGTTATCACAGTATATAGCACTTCACGTATTGCAGAGGAATTCATCCCTTCCTGCAGAGACCTCGGAGTATCAGAAAGGTAGAGACGATCCTGTAGTAACTCTAGAGTAGGACAACCTAAGGGTGGTAGGGTGGGTGGAGGGAGCTGGCAGAGCTGCGGCAACTGGGGTGGCTCACTTGAGCTCTGCCATATTCCCTGTGGAAAAGGGCAAAAGTCTCCTTGGCTGGATGTGGCGGTCGGAGGCGGGAGGTGGCAGTGGTGCCAAGCGGAGCTGGTAAATAAAGAGTCTTCTCACTCCGCTGGCGCAATCCGTTTTGGTGCTTTAATTGGATCAGGTCAACGGGAAAGTGAGGTCATTGTAGGGTAATGAAGGGCATGACAAAATGATTGAGTTTTGAAAACAGAATAAAAGCCCTGAGCTGCCGTTCCTGGGGTGGGAAGGAGCACTGCTGAAGGAACAGCACGCTCAGTTCATCGGGAAGGGAGAGGGCTCGGGCTAAAAAACAGAGAAAGAGGATTTAAAAATAAGTATGAATGGTTGTGTAGAGGGAAAGTGGATGGCTTCCGCTTTGATGGAAAAAGTGAGGATAGGAGCAAGTAGGAGCACAGGAGTATTTTTATACCAGTGGCATCGAGGAGTTGCAAGTTGAGATCCAGCTCTGGTTCGAAACAAGGCGTCAGCAGCCTGGAAGGATTTGTGTCCCCTCAAGGATGAGGTGGGATGGAAAGAGGCTCTCGCTTCTTGTTTGGTCCAAACCCTTTCTGTCTGACAAAGTTCCACAGGCGAGCAGGACTAAGGGGAAAATAGATCAGGGTTCCTGGTAAGCCTCTGCGAGCAGCCAAGAATCCTTTGTTTTGGTAACTTCCCAACAGAGGTTTGCATGGATGGGTTTTTGTTGGTTTTAAGGGTCAGGATTGCAGAAAGCAGCAGCTGATGAGAACTGTCCAAAAGCAGGATTTCTGTCCTGTGAACAACCCAGAGATTTCAACATTTCATTTCAGGCTGAAAGAAAAAAAAATTAAAAAAAAAAAAAATCCCAAAACTTTCCAGGAGTTATTTAGAATACTCGTTTGGCTGTGTCAAAACTTTCCACTTCCATTATATCAAAATGTTTCATCTTGATCTTTATAGTATCTAAAATAATTACCCGAGCAAAATGCTTCCCCCTGTGGATACTGTCCAACAAGTATTTTGGTTGAGCTATTGTAAGAGCATAAAGGAAATCTTTGATATCAAATTGAAATGCTTCAGTTGTTTCTAATTGAAAACATTCCTGACGTTGATCTGTGCCTGCAAAACTCTTAATCAACTAAGAGTTTTCTGCTGAAGAACTTCCACTAGAAAAATTTTGGCTAATACGGACATAAGAACTTGTGAGCGTTGCTCGCGCCCGCAGACTGAAGATTGCTCCTATGTGTCAGATATCCTTGTGTTTCCTTTTTTGCTCATTTATCGGGAAGGAGTGAAAGACTCGTAGGAGGGCTGGAGATGAAAGATCTGCAGATCAGAACAGAGAGAAATAGAAAAAGTTGTGGCTGGAAGGAAGAAGAGATTCATTCATCACAGAGGACCCAAAAAGGTCATAAACCCAAAGTGTTATTTTCCTTTTGTAGGTACCTTTAGATGTGAGGAACCAACTGCTCTTGGGAAAATGTTGCCTTTTGGTCCCCTAGGATTAACGAGGAGCAAAGCCGCCGGCTCACGTGTTGTGTCAGGAATGCATCTTGCACAACACCAGGGACTCGGGCACTCTCTGAGCCGGACAGGGAAACCTCTGGCTGGGGAGCAGGCTGTTTACAAGCTGTAAAGACAAAATCCCACTTAGTAGCTCATCCAAGTGGAGAAGAGATTGTTCTAGAGAACTTTGGGAGGTCTGGCACAGCTGGAGCCGACTTCCAAAAATCGATGTCAGGAATAGCCTCGGGTCCAAGGAGCCCGATAGTCAATGTGCCAACTTCTGCTGGATCCAGCGCTGGGACGGCAGAGCAGGGGGAAGTCTGCATGCGGGCACGTGTCCTCATCAGGAGCCCTGTGACCCTCTGAGGCCGTGCTGCCAGACCCTACCATCTGCTCAGCTTCTCCTCCTCCTCTTCCTCCTTCCCACAGCTCACGAGGGTGCGACGTGTGACCTGCTGGGCAAGATCTACCACAACGGGGAGAGCTTCCAGCCCACCTGCAAGCTGCAGTGCATCTGCATGGACGGGGCCATCGGCTGCATCCCCCTCTGCTCCGACGACCTGCGGCTGCCGTCCCCCGAGTGCCCCAATCCCCGGCGGGTGAAGTTTCGCAATAAGTGCTGCGAAGAGTGGATCTGCGAGGAGGGCAGCGAGGAAAACCGCTTCGAAACAGCCATGGCGGGTGAGTGGTGGGCAGAGGCGACAGGGAGCTGTTTGCTGGGGGACAGGGGACCCAAACTGCCCCAAGTCCCGCCTTAGGGCGTCACATGTGGTTTGGAACCGGTGGTGAGTGCTCGCTTTGTGGGTACCAAGCGTTGAACTCCAGAGCTGTTAAGGTGAGACCATAGGGGTGCTGCGGGGAGGCTCCCTCAGCCCCAGATACTGCAGCAGAACTGGCTGCAGCGGGGCTGTGGTAGGAAATGGCCTTGTGCTTCCCTGTGTCCTCCTCCTGCCGAGAGGCTGAGTAGCTCACGGGACGGATCAGACCTTTGCTGCTGTTCCTGAAGAGTTAGACCAAGTTGGGAGCAGCCAGGGAGCTGCCACGCTTCATCCCAAGCCCTGAACCTTGCCTTGTGTCTCTTCCCTGTGGCTCAGTTTTCAGGGAGGATCCGGCACGCAAGCCGGAGCTGAATAACCTGCAGGAGAACTGCTTGGTGCAGACCACCGAGTGGAGCGCTTGCTCCAAGAGCTGCGGCATGGGCATCTCCGCCCGAGTAACCAACGACAACCCCCAGTGCCGCCTGGAGAAGGAGACCCGGCTCTGCATGGTCCGGCCCTGCGACTTTCCCATGGAGAAAACCAAGGTAGTGGCTTGGGGAGAGGGGACGCAGCACCGTGAATGCCAGGGACAACCCAGTTAGGTCCTTGCCCGGCATGAGCCCGTCTCGCAGGGTTTGCTCTGTGCTTCCACTTTTTCTGTTGCCCGGTGATGGAGATGGAGCGCAGGCCGAGGCGGACCTCTCGTCTGATTCTCATGTCCTTATTAACCCACCTGCTCTCTCCATAGAAGGGGAAGAAGTGTGTGCGGACCCCAAAACCACGCCAGAACCTCCGCTTTGAGTTTTCCGGCTGCACCAGCACCCGTTCCTACCGGCCCAAGTTCTGCGGCAGCTGCACGGACGGTCGCTGCTGCACCCCGTACGTCACCAGCACGGTGGAGGTGGAATTCCGCTGCCCCGAGGGGGACTTCTTCCAGCGGAAGATGATGTTCATCAAGATGTGCTCCTGCCACTACGACTGCCCCCGAGACAACGACATCTTCCTGGCCACCTACCACAGGAGGATGATTGGAGACCACGTCAAGACAGAGAGGCAGTAGCCCTCTCCGTGCCAGATCCGTAGGCCAAGGTGTCAAGAGGGCTCTGCAGTGCTTTCGGGGCTGTGTCCCAGGACAACGCAGCCTCTTCCCCCTCTGTGAGGGGCTCTGCTCTTCAGAACAGCACCGTCGCCACCAGCGCTCCCAGTGGCCTTGCTAACAAGCCGACACGCAGGGGGCAACAGCCCCGTCTGCCCCAGGCTCCTGACCTTCACCCGCAGTGCTGCAAAGCTCAGTGAAGGAACCAGAAACAGGCTTGAGCTGCAAAACTTGATCCATGTTCCCGCTGACCAGATGGGAGAGTGGATCAAAGCCGCGTGGCTCCAGCCTGTCTCCAGCTGGGAGCACGGTGGGTACGATTCCCCGTGGCCAAAACCACGTGGCAAACCCAGAGCATGAGACAGGGGAAGCCCGGGAGGCCTGAGCTAAAGCCGAGCTCTTCCCCCAGAGCGGGGCTCTGCTGCGCGTTGATGCAAAGCTCGGTGAGCAAAATGGTCCTGGCCCTGTGCTGGGCTCCTGCTGAGCTTCTCAATTATTTTTGGTTAATTGGATTCAACAAGTTGGCAAAAGCTCTGCCCCAACCTTGTGCCCACCTTTCACCCTGCCGCGTGCTTTCCCGTCAGCAGCTTTGTTCCAGATCAGTTCGCTCCTAGAGTGGCCGGATCATCTCCTGGGTGACCCGTTCTCCGTGCAGCTCAAGGCTGGGCTGTCTTTTTTTTTTTTTCCTCCCCGTTAAATTCCTTTTAGCCTTGTGTGCAGATGAGGAAACAGCGAGTTGGTAGTGTCACTGCAGGAGCTGGAGCGTGGCTCGGGGCCTCCTGCAGAAGATCTGGGCGCAGGAAGGAGTTTCTCCATAGATGAGAGGATTCGGCCAGGCTGTAGCTTTGCTCCGGCAGCGCTGTGTTCCCTGGGGCCTGTTTCAGCCCCGAGCAGCTCTTCCAGCGTGAAATGGGGGCGAGCCAGGCCGCAAGTCTGAAACACGTCCCCCGCGGGGGCTGCTCCTGGCACTTTTTAGTGCCACGACGAGCATGTCCTGCTCCATAATCCCTTCAGAAGTGGCTCCGGGCTGGGAGAGGGGCTGGACTCGGCCGGCTCACGCTTCCACAGTGGGGCTGCAGCGACGTTTGGCTCCGGAGACTTTGCCGGTGGGTCATAAGTTGGAGGAATGCCATTCAGCTCCGCTCTCCCCAGCGAGTTTAAGGCCCTGGCAAGAAAAATGCCCGTATTTGTAAACGAAGCGGAGCTCTCCTGCAGTTCCCGAGGCAGCAGCATGGAAAGCCGCGTGGTGCTGGGGTCTCCAGCGGTGGGGTTCCCGTCTTGCCGCAGGCCTGCGCAGAGTCTCTCCGCTGTTAACACGAGCTGACCGCCGGCCCCGGCAGCGACGCAGCCCCGTGGTATCTCTGAAGCCTCATCCGTTGGGTTTAGTCTCTGCTGACGTTAGCAGAAACATCCAGGTAAAGGCCCAGTCTCGTTCCTTCAGTCCTCCCAGCCTTCAGCCTTTCCCGTTCGCTGGAAACGGTGACAAATTCCTGTCCCAGCCAGGCTGGAGCAGGGGCCGTGCTCCAGCTCCGAGGCATTACCCCACCACAGCTCCCACCCCGAAGCGGAACGTGATGCCGGAGGATAATCTCAGCCAGCAATAAACGCTGCACTGCAGACCG